TCCTTTATCTAATAAATCTTCAAGTAATTTTGTGTTGCCTCATATAGATGATCCCATGACAGTTTTTGGTGATAATGCTTAGTCTGTTGAGCAACAAGATATTGCAGGCTGTGAGGTCTCTCTAGCACTAATTAGTACTGGTAATACATCTCAGCCTTTATCTCCTGTTATTCCTTTTCATATATCATCTGATTCTTTCCAAAATCATGTATAAAACAATGATAATGACCCTGATTCCAATATTCATCCGACACTTACACATATTGACATATTGCCAAGAAAATCTACTAGATCTAGGAAACATCCATCTCATTTTCATGACTATTATCTATGTGGTTTTAATTCCCTAGTCAATTCCAATGTGTTCATTCCCCATTGCATTTTCCGATTTATCTCTTATGACAATATTGATGAAGGCCATAAATCTTTTGTCTTTGCTGCCTCACAAAAAATGGAACCTAAAACTTACAACCAAGCTATAATTTTCCCTGTTGGAAAGAAGTAATGCAGGTTGAAATAAATACGTTAGAGGAGAATCGCATATGGGATTTGGTTCCATTACTTGAAAATAAAGAAGCCTATTGGATGTAAAATTTATAACCAAACTGTTTATTTTCTCTGTTGGAAAGAGGCAATGCAAGTTGAAATAAATGCATTAGAGGAGAATCACACATAAGATTTAGTTACCCTAACTGAAAATCAGAAATCCATTGGATGTAAATGCGTTTACAAAATAAAAAAGAAGGGCAGATGGCTCTGTTGAACGGTATGAAGACAAGTTAGTGGTTAAAGGTCATACTCAGTAATTTGGTATATATTATCTTGATACTTTTTGGCTGTTGCTAAGTTAACCACCATCAGAAGCTTGGTTGCTATTGCTGCTGTTAAAGACAGGTTCCTTCATCACCTTGACATCAATAATGCTTTATTGCATGGTAACTTGCATGAGGAAGCATATTTAAGATTACCACTTGTTTTTAGTCTAATCAGAAAAATCAGGTCTATAAATTGAGAAAAATCTTGTATGGCTTGAAGCAAGCTAGCAAGTAATGGAATTTTAAGCTTACTGAAGCTTTAAAGAGCCAAAGCTTTGCGCAAGCTCATTCTGATTCTTCACTGTTAATCAAGCATTATGGTTTAGATTTTATTGCTCTTGTTGTTTCTGTGGATGATGTTATCTTAGTAAGCAACAGTCTGTCCCAGATTGAGTCTGTTAACAAGTTTCTTCATGATACCTTTCGCATAAGGATTTTGGTGAACTTAAAATTCTTTTGGGGGCTTGAAGTTGCTTGTTCTTCTGCAGGTATTAATCTTTGTTAGCGGAAATATACCCTGGACCTATTGTATAATACAGGGATCTTAGGATGCAGACCTGCATCCATGCCTATGACTTCATCTACCAAATTAGCTAAGACAAATGGTTCTCCTAGTGTGGATGTCACCTCCTACAGGTAGCTAGTTGGTAAATCGCTTTATCTTGCTAATATTAGGAATGTCACCACTTTTTTTGTTTAACAATTTGTTAGGTCATTAATGGTGAAAAAGGGAAATAACAAAAAAAAGTGTAAATTAATCTTTTATGTAACATTTAGGGTTAGGGGTAATTAACCCTAATCATCTCTTCATTTTCACAGCCACTATCTCATCCCACGGCTGCTGCTGCATGTTTAATGGCCGCATGATTCCGGTCGCTAATATTGCTTATTTTATTGCTTTAAGGCCTATAAAGGGCTCTGTTTCATGGCTTATAAGGATAACAGAAAAAGTAATAAAATTAACTATCTATTTCTCTTTTGGACTTCGGTCTTCTGTTCTTCTTCTCCTATTCTTTTTTGTCCTTTCTTTTTCATTTGCTTCAAATCAGATAATAATGTTAAAGGCTTCTGACAAGGTGGTATCATAGTAGAAACTGGCCGAATCCTTTGTCGGAGTCGCAACCTGTACTTGGTTAAAAGGAAAGGCCACGATAGTGGCCAAACGAGAGAATCTCGAAACATCCGAACTTATCGTGAAGGATGTTGATCATAAACTTACCTCCTTCATGGAAGAGGTATATGAAATGAGGAGGGAGTTCCCCCAACAGATGAACACCATCATGGCATGGCTTCGCAAGACACCCTCAGAAGACTGGCCAAAGCTGTCGATAGATGCACGCAAGGATGGAGATCTGTTTCCCTTTTTGATCGGCACGAATGATGATCAGATGCCCATGGCTGACTGGTCGAAATGAGCGACAGGTGCGCGCAAAGAGGGAGGTTTGCTTCCTCTCTCAAGCGGAGGCCATCCTTCTACTGTGCCCCCGAGCAGCGTGCATAGTTCTATAGAAGGGTTTTGACCCTTTAAGTCCAGTTCTGTGGATGAAGCAGACAGAATCAGCCCGAATCGACTCGAATGGACTCGAGTTGAACTGGGCCGAACTGACTTGACTCGGTCTAAACCAGCCCGACCCGATTGCTGCTCAAACTAGTTCGAACCGGACCGATCTAATGCATTCTATGCATAGAACCAATTCTACCCATATGTTTTTACTTCCTAAAGTGAAAATCCCACTTTTTGAAGGAATAAACCCCCACGGGTGGATTCAAAGGTGCGAAAAATATTTTATGATCTACGACACTTGATGAGCATAAGGTAGAGATTGCATTGTTATATTTGGGAGTGACTGATAAATGATAGCATGGGTGGCAAGCCAAAATTAATGCCGTAGACTGAGAGTATTTTGTGGAAGAATTTGTTATAGATTTAGAGGATCATTGTGAAAGGATTTCATAGAGGAGTTCATCAAGTTATCTCAAATAGGTACTGTTCTCAACTACCAAGAACAATTTGTACAATTATATTCTCTTATGAATGCAGAAAACCCAATGCTTTCAGAAAGATTTTTTATATATACCTTTATCAGTAGTCTCAGGCCACAATTACAAGCCATGTTAAGACTTCTCAAACCACAAACTCTTAATCAAGCATTTGAACAGACTCTACTTCAAGAATAATATATTATAAAACTGTCTCAAAGTTCTTATCCTATTAAAATGGCTAAAATTACGAAAGTATCTAAAACAAGAAATAATGACCAACCGCTCCGAAAAGATACAGAACCTAGAAGAGCAACAACTACTTGCTACAAGTGTGGAGACCTATACTTCCCTAAACATCATTTGTAACGACCTGAAAACTCCAAAGGGAGATAAATTATAAATTTAGTGCGGAAACAAAATAAATAGTTAAGGTTTAAATTCCTTATATAATAATTCAGATTACCCAATAGGGTTACGGGAATGACCATTTTAAAAAAAATAACGAAAAATTAAAGAAATAAATGAAAAATAAACAACTGGGCATCCTACTCGCAACCCTCTTATGGATCGAGTTCTGGATCTTGGTTATCTTGATATGAAATTGTTAATAAAAGAATGAGTTATACTAGCTTAGTAAGAATATCACACTACTCACCGACATATAAATGAAGGTTGGTAGAAATCATAAAAACAACTAATGGAGCTCTTAATTTAAGTAAATTTGTTTATCATAAATAAAATCATTTACCCTATATTTACTGTAACGAGATTTCTAAAAAATCAACTTATAAAGTCAGTAACATAAATAATATCAAAATCTTATATTCAATTAGTCAGAACAACGACTTTATCTTTTATCAGCTTACTAGTAGCTATGGGGGTTCATAGGAATGTCCCCACTATGCGTGAACTTTTATTCAATATTTTCAAATAACGGGCCGTTCCCATACCCTGTCCTGCATGAGTGCCAAAGATACCATCCCTCAATACCCCGTCCGGTGAGGGTAAAATGGGCCGTCCCCATACCCCGTCCGGTATGAGCGCCAAATTACCAATTCTCGATACCCCGTTTGGTATGAGACAACTTTCACAATAGGGTTCCTTACGTATCCAGTCCGTCCACCATCTCCTAGGATATCCAGTAAAGTTGTCGTTCATC